GATATGTAATACAAGTCATATTTCTTTTGAACTGCTAATCCATGCTAATCATTCATTAAATTGTGCATTATGTCTTAATTTTTCACTTCCTTGGATATACTGTACAGTACAAAAAGATAGGATAAAAATAAACCAGTAATATTTCTTTCATTATATTTTTCATTTAAATAACTGCATCAATATTTTTACAGCTGACAGGATTTGTTTTCCCCATACAGGTGCATTATTTGTTAACAAAAATTTGGTTTATTGTTACACACAATGGTGCTACATAGCCTTCCCAGCTTGATGCCTTCTTTTAATACTTACTGATTAAAAAATAAATAATAAATACATTTTATTCAGGAAAAGTACATACAGTTGATTTACAAACATAATGTTGGATTTATAGGCAGAGCTAGTACATACAATACCTAAAGCCACTAATACTCATAGCATTTCGGGCAAGGTGTGGGGGGAAAAAAACACAGACTAAAACTTAATAGCAATCGAGATTAGGTATAAATTGTGTTGAAAGAAGGAATAAAAAATACAAAAAGGGGGTTAACATAGCATAAATCAGCAATTGCACATGTTGGTGAACAGCGTTGTTTAAAAAATAGCAAGACATGGGTTGACATTTAGGAGGTAAGTTAGGTTACATGGAGTTAATTAGGCAGTGCTTGGTTTAACTCTTAAACTGGTTGAGAGAGGTACAGCCTTTGACATGATTCGGGAGGTCATTCCACATTCTGGGTCCCTTGATTTGTAGAGCACTTCTAGTTTGGTTACACACAGCCAAATTGAGTAACAGGAAGAGGTCTTGGACACAAATTTGTTCCATGCTAAATGTAGAGGAATCAGCTGAGTATTCCTCAAATAAAATAAGTTGCCTCAGCTTATAAGGTAAATAAAATAAGCATTTCTCAAATAAGTAGCTGCCTCACCTCACTGCCTTACTGTTACATAGCCTTCCCGACATGGTGCCTTCTTTTGATAATTACTGTACTTGTTCCACACCCAAATTGTATAACAGGAAGAGGTCTTGGACCCCTACTTCCCTCTCTCTTTTTTAGTAGTCTATATAGTCATAATTATAGCTTTAAGTATTCAATGAATAAAGTTTTTGACATTTTTACCCTTTTCCTTACCTAACATCATTTGTGCAGCATATTTTTATTTTATGTCTCACCCAGATTTAATTTCAAAATAAAACCAAACTAAATAAATTAGAAATGGGTATGTATAGCTAAGGTACACCCTTACTACTAGGTGAACAGGGGCATTTGGTGATAGTAAATGATCCCATCAGGCAGGGCTCATCACCTTCTCTCATATTTCATGTTCACCAGTGTTTATTTACTTAATAACTACTGGTATAATATCTTGCTATTATAAAACTAATTCTACTATCATCAAACACATATTTACTTCAAGTTTCAAGCAGAGAATGCATATATAACTAACACGAAGGATTACTCTTCACTAGATTCACCAGCTATAATATTTTGGTCATGTTCCAATATCATAAATCGATCCCAGTGTTATGTAGTAGAGAAAAAATGACTTATAATCCAGTTTACGTAAAGCTACGAGTGGTCGAAACCACACTTAAATCCCGGAATGAACTTACGAAGATTTTTCCACTTAGGGTAGTTAATTGAATACGGACGTAGCCGCCACGAAGGCGCTAAGACGGAAAACGCTCTTAGCTAAGAGGAAAAACCTTCGTAAGTACCTTCCTGAATCCGGCCCCAGACCCTTAGCCTTGTTTATTGAGAAAATGGACAATTCTTCCTGCAGTTCAAATCTCTCCATATGTCACTGCGTAAAAAATGCAACGCTTGAGGTGAGAGAAACACGTATGGTCGTCCTGGGAATGGTAAACAGTTTAGTCAACACGTATGGTCGTCCTGGGAATGATAAACGGTTTAGTCAATGCGTATGGTCGTCCTGGGAATGGTAAACAGTTTAGTCAACACGTATGGTCGTCCTGGGAATGATAAACGGTTTAGTCGATGCGTATGGTCGTCCTGGGAATGGTAAACTGTTTAGTCAACACGTATGGTCGTCCTGGGAATGATAAACGGTTTAGTCAATGCGTATGGTCGTCCTGGGAATGATAAAGTGTTTATTTAACACTTATGGTCGTCCTGGGAATGATAACCTGTTTATTAAACACGTACGGTCGTCCTGGGAATGATAAACTGTTGAGTCAATGCGTATGGTCGTCCTGGGAATGATAAACAAAAGAAATGCGACGCAGTAGATGATGGAGGGGCCGGTGACAGTGAGAGAGCCGGTGAGGCACTGATCGATGAAACCAGAAACCATTTGTTTTGTAAACAAAAGCCTCGTGGCCGCGCTGGGAATGGCGGGAGGCAATATTAATGCTGAAATTGAATTTACAGCTCTTGCCATTTATAATTTACAGGCCATTTGAGTGTAAAAGGATATATACAACGTGATGTAAGATAATAGTTTGACATTCCTCTGCACGCATGAATTTTGTTGTACAAAAAGTAATGTTTTGAAAGATAAAAACTCGATATTTTTATAGCTAAGATCCCTCCAATTTTTTAATTTGGAGGGATCTTCCTTTACGGGTCTTAAGTCCCTGACTGGTCCACTAAGTGGTAATTAATTAAGTGTTACTTAGATGGTGGATGAGGTTTAACAACTATCTCGAGGTTATCTTGAGAGGATTTCGGGGCTTAGCGACCCCGCGGCCCGGTCCTCGAGCAGGCTTCCTTTTTGTTACACACCCCCAGGAAGCAGCCCGTAGCAGCTGTCTGACTCCCAGGTACCTATTTACTGCTAGGTGAACAGGGGGGCATCAGGGTGAAAGAAACGTTTTGTCCATTTGTCTCCGCCTCCACCGGGGATCGAACCCGGAACCTCAGGACTATGAAACCGAAGCGCCGTCCACTCAGCTGTCAGGCGCCTAATGACAATGATCAAATAGTGTATATAAGAATCATATCACTTTTGTTTAAATCATCTGTTTAACTTTATTGCTGTTAATGAATGCATCAATCACCCTACTGCCTGGCTTGGGTCTATTATCTGACTCACCTCTGACTCACATCCCCTGACTCACTGCTTACTCGTGTTGTACCAGCAACATGAGTAAGAATACCATCAGCTACTGTGTCAGTATTACATTCGAATACTGTGTTGTACCATGAACACAGTATTAGAATACCGCAGTACCATCATGATTCCATGGTGGTACTGCATATTCTATTACTGGTCTCACATACGTTACATGCTAAATGTGTGTGGGGAGGCGGGTAGTGAAAGGCTGGCTTGGCAATCTTAGGATAAGTTAGGTTAGTTTAGGATTTCAAGATTAAGAAGGCACCAAATTGGGAAGACAATTAGTACTATTTAGGATTTTCAAGATTAAATTAAGAACTATCTACTGACAAGCTCATTTAAACCCATTTAGTCTACCTACAATTTGACTCTATTCCCAAACCATTTAAGTTTACAGGAAACTCTTAAACTACACTGAGAAACAGACCCGATGTGTATATATATATATACACCTTGTATATGTTCAATACCTTGTTCTGGCTCGCGTGACAGCTCTGAGCCAGCTCAAGTAATGGCACTGAGTGTACTCTGAGGCACTCACTGTACTCTGAGGCACTCAGTCGTCAATATTGGCTGGTCATAAACATTGAGCTGACCCAGAATATGTAGTGAAGGAATGTTATTTAGTCAGTTGGTGTATGTCTGCAGCTGTTATTATTTATGAGTAAGACAAGTGACGCTGGAAGGTGAGATATGGCTGCCTGTCAACATGGTATTGATGTACGGGGGGTTTAGGCCCCCCCTGCCACACACCTTTCCGGAACAGGGGTTGGATACACAGAGAGAGGTGTAAACCTCTGTAAACGTCGACTTGAGAATGGTCCAGGACGGACCGAAACGTCGTCGTCCCTTCAACTTCTAGTGTGTGGTCTGGTCAACATACTTCAGCCACGTTATTGTGACTCATCGCCTGCAGGTGTAAACCTATTCCTCGGCGTATATATATTGAGTTTACTTTAGTCCTTGAGGGAGAGGTCACGACCTCTCCGTGGGTGCAGTCGCACCTCCACAGATCTTAAGTATCAGCTAATGATACTGGTAATGGCTTCAAAGGGCCACCACTTACGGGCTATTCATGCCCGTGCCACCTTTTGGGTAGCTTATTCTTCATCAATCAGTCCTTGAGGATTACGGGCTATTTATGCCCGTGCCACCTCTTGGGTGGCTTAATCTTGATCAATCAATCATCCTTGAGGAGAGAATCGTAGATATTTCAAGATCTTACACCACCAAAGATCACATTCACTCCAAAAAGTCTACCACCTACGGGGCTATTCGTGCCCGTGCCACTTCTTGTGGTGTCTTAATGTTCAGCAATATAATCCTCGACTGAGTTCAGGACTAAAGTATAATTTGCTAGTTAGTAAACTAGTTTCACGGCCCTTAATAGCCCCCCCCCCCCAATCATACATTTGTGCCATAGGATAACCTTTAGCCCAACACCAAACTATCCTTCACAATGTTCCTTTGAATCATTTGTAACTTGATAAAATCATTAGAGAAGTTAGGTTGTGGTTTTCTATTCAGCTTTTCAAGGCCAACTCAAATATTCACAATCAATTAGCATGTCACATATGCACTTATTCATAAGCAAGATATTGACTATAAGCAAGTGCGAGAATGGGTTGGAATTTCATACCTTGAGTAATCCTCGCCTTATAGTTTCCTGCTCTCGTACATATATTTCCTGTTCTCTTACATATATCCTGAAGAATATATAGGAAGTTCTGAATAGTCATCAACACATTGCCATGTAGCCTTCAAGGCTTATAACACCTTCACAAAGTTGTAACATTGTAAACAATTATATCTCTCACTCACGATCAGTAGTTCGAGCCTCTAAGTACCCCGTTGAATGAAATGAACCGTAACATTGAGATTGTCTGTTGTCTTGACGGTATAATTTTTCTCCTTGGTGCAGGATGGAACGGTACGAGAGCCTGGGTGTGGTGGGCGAGGGCTCCTACGGCTTGGTACTCCGCTGCCGACACAAGGAGTCAGGTCAGACCGTCGCTATCAAGAAGTTCTTGGAGAGTGAAGATGATCATACTGTCAAGAAGATTGCCCTCAGGGAGGTCCGGATGCTTAAGGTAGGTCTAAAGGGGGGTCCACATACTCAAGGAGGGGTCTGACTGGGGTCCACATACTCAAGGAGGGGTCTGATTGGGGTCCACATACTCAAGGAGGGGTCTGTTTGGGGTCCACATACTCAAGGAGAAGTCTGATTGGAGTCCACATACTCTAGGAGGGGTCTGACTGAGGTCCACATACTCAAGGTGGGGTCTGATTGGGGTCCACATACTCAAGGAGGGGTCTGAGGAAGAAATAGAACTTCACGGTTCTATTCACTACAAAAGTTGTGATGATAAATTAACAAATGTAATTTTGAGTTAGATTAGGTTAGGTTAGGTTGGCTAGGGTTAGTTTAGGTTCCATTGGGTTCTGGTTAGGTTCGACTAGGTTAGGTTGGGTAAGGTTATAGGGTGGGTTGGGTTAGGTTCGGTTGCATTCTCACAATAAAAAAAACATCTCGGGAGTACCTAACTGGCACCCAACTGAGACTTTAAACCTCCCCCTAGAGCACCACTAAAGTATTTGTAGATACATATCTCCATCATTGTCTCATAAGGAACCTATGTTCCCCAAAAGGTTAGTACTAGCAACAGCTATTGGGCAAACGTACAAGAATGGGATATTAATTGACTTTTATAGTAGTATAAAAGACGACTAAAACAGTCCTCTTTAATTGACTTTTATAGTAGTATAAAAGACGACTAAAACAGTCCTCTTTAATTGACTTTTATAGTAGTATAAAAGACGACTAAAACAGTCCTCTTTAATTGACTTTTATAGTAGTATAAAAGACGACTAAAACAGTCCTCTTTAATTGACTTTTATAGTAGTATAAAAGACGACTAAAACAGTCCTCTTTAATTGACTTTTATAGTAGTATAAAAGATGACTAAAACAGTTCTTTTCTATACTATTAATTTTTTGGGGAGAAGGACATAAGAAAGAAGACAACAACCCAATCTAAGCTGTTTATTAGGCCTAGCATGATACATATGTGTATTGAATTAAGCCTAAGATGGCATGTATTATGCCTCGGATTGCCTATTTAGGCCTAGGGCAGTTTAGGGTGCCCTTAAGTTACTGATCCACTTTCTCGACATGCCTTTTATGGTGTTCCAATAGGGAAGATTGTGAACTTTTTTTTTGGGTACAAAAGTCAATTTTTGTTTACATTTGACTAAATAATTACTAAAAGTATTAACACTTTTGTAGGCTGGATTGAATAAAGATGCAATCCACAAAAGTGAGGTTATGTTTTAATCCACAAAAGTGAGGTGATGGTTTAATCCACAAAAGTAAGGTGATGGTTTAACCCACAAAAGTGAAGTGATGTTTTAATCCACAAAAGTGAAGTCACACATAGAGATCACACTAACGTGATGCATCAAATGAACAAATCCGAACAAAGTGAAGTGATATTTTAATCCACAAAAGTGAGGGGATGGTTTAATCCACAAAAGTGAGGTGATGTTTTAATCCACAAAAGTGAGGTGATGTCTCGTAGGTGGTAGTTAAGTGTAAGCTGGATATTAATAGTTGGAAGTGTTTAGTTTGTAGTGCTTCAGCTTCATGTCTGTTCTCCGACCTGTCAATTAATTTGGTGTTGCTAGTCAGAATATTGTAATGTGAAGAAATGATGGGATCTTTGATAGATCCTTGTTGTTTGTATCTTATTTGGTACCTTAAAACCAACATTAGTGTCTTGTCTATATATTAAGATCTTTAGGGCTGAGAATACCCAAGAATATAGACGACATTTGACTCTAATGAACTTAAATACAAATGAGTTTTCAACATTATGAAACAGATTATTGCTCCCTTACATGGCTAAATACTTCGTTATATAATCTCAGAGCACGTTGACGGATTCAGCTACACATCCTAATAACAACTTATATTCCCACAGAAACTGCGGCATGAGAACCTGGTCAACCTGATCGAGTTCTTCCGCCGCAAGCGACGCCTGTACCTAGTCTTTGAGTACGTCGACCACACCATCTTAGACGAACTGGAGGCCACGGAGACGGGCCTGGACGAGACCACCACCAGGGAGCACATCTTCCAGGTGCTTCGGGGCATCGCCTTCTGCCACCAGAACCAGGTCAGTTCGGCTGGTCTCCGGCAGAGTGAAGAGGAGGTGTTCGAAGCCTCACAATACCCAGTGTTCCACCCGTCATTATGGTGGCGACGAACCTCATATATAAACAGCATGTATAAACTCTCTGAAAAGGAAGATTATGAGTATAGATAGTTGATTAGCCATATTTTGATGTGAGAGAGGCTGAGGAAGTTATTGATTAGCCTTATTTTGATGTGAGAGGCCGAGAAAGTTATTTATTAGCCTTATTTTGATGTGAGAGGCCGAGAAAGTTATTTATTAGCCTTATTTTGATGTGAGAGAGGCTGAGGAAGTTATTGATTAGCCTTATTTTGATGTGAGAGAGGCTGAGGAAGTTATTGATTAGCCTTATTTTGATGTGAGAGAGGCTGAGGAAGTTATTGATTAGCCATATTTTGATGTGAGAGGCTGAGGACGTTATTGATTAGCCTTATTTTGATGTGTGAGAGGCTGAGGAAGTTATTGATTAGCCATATTTTGATGTGTGAGAGGCTGAGGAAGTTATTTATTAGCCTTATTTTGATGTGTGAGAGGCTGAGGAAGTTATTGATTAGCCTTATTTTGATGTAAGAGAGGCTGAGGAAGTTATTGATTAGCCATATTTTGATGTGAGAGGCTGAGGACGTTATTGATTAGCCTTATTTTGATGTGAGAGAGGCTGAAGAAGTTATTGCTGTAATGAATTATAGAAAATGAACTGTGAAGTATGAGTGACCCACTATAGCTTTAGGGGAGACTGATTTAGTGAACTTTAAAGAGGGAATGATTTAAGGGATTTGAGAAAGGGGGGATTTAAGGAACTTTTGAGAGGGGGGGCTAACTTAAATGAACTTATAACAGGGTTTGAGTTCAAAGAACTTGTAAGAAAGGCCAATTTAAGGAACTCTTGACACAGGGTCCCTACATAGTCACCTCGGCTTGGTGCCTTCTTTTGATAACTACCGACATTCTTGATAGAGGGTGGTTTAAGGAACTTTTGAAGGGAGCTAATATCATTACACCAATATCCATCACGTATCATACCAGCCAGTACTACTTAGCTCCTCCCTATACTCATGTCCCCCCCCACTCTGTATATTGATTAAACTACTCTATAGCATCGTGGCTGCATTTCTTGACCGCCCTCGTTTAAACCAACGACACCTAATTTCCTTGGGCCAGATTCACGAAACAGTTACACAAGCACCTACGAACCCGGGGCCAGGGCCAGATTCACGAAGCAGTTACGCAAGCACTTACGAACCTGGGGCCAGATTCACGAAGCAGTTATGCAAGCACTTACGAACCTTGGGCCAGATTCACGAAACAGTTACACAAGCACCTACGAACCCGGGGCCAGGGCCAGATTCACGAAGCAGTTATGCAAGTACTTACGAACCTGGGGCCAGATTCAAGAAGCAGTTACGCAAGTACTTACGAACGTGTACATCTTTCCTCAATCTCTGACGGCTTTGGTTACATTTATTAAACAGTTTACAAGCATGAAAACTTGCCAATCAACTGTTGTTATTGTTATAAACAGCCTCCTGGTGCTTCGGAGCTCATTAACTGTTTAATAATTGTAAACAAAGCCGCCAAAGATTGAGAAAGAGTTAAAGATTTGGCCCCAGGTTCGTAAGTGCTTGCGTAACTGCTTCGTGAATCTGGCTCCAGGTTCGTAAGTGCTTGCATAACTGCTTCGTGAATCTGGCCCCAGGTTCGTAAGTGCTTGCATAACTGCTTCGTGAATCTGGCCCCAGGTTCGTAAGTACTTGCACAACTGCTTCGTGAATCTGGCGCCAGGTTCGTAAGTGCTTGCGTAACTGCTTCGTGAATCTGGCTCCAGGTTCGTAAGTGCTTGCGTAACTGCTTCATGAATCTGGCCCCAGGTTCGTAAGTAACTGCTTCGTGAATCTGGCCCCCAGCTGCCTGTTCAAGCAATAATCCCCCCATATAAATCCTATACTATCCAATCACCTTAACTGATCTCATTTTGACACAAACCTCAAGAAATCCCAAACCTTTTCACTTTCTCAACAGATCATCCACCGAGACATTAAGCCAGAAAACGTCTTAGTGAGCCGTCTTGGAGTGGTTAAACTGTGCGACTTCGGCTTCGCCAGGTTGCTGGCGGGTCCTGGAGAGTCTTGCACGGACTACGTGGCCACCAGGTGGTACCGGGCGCCGGAGCTCCTCGTGGGCGACACCAGATATGGCAGGTGAGATTGGTTGATTGATTAAGACACCCGAGAGGTGGCACGGGCATGAATAATCCCGTAATGGATGGTGAGGACTGATAGGGATATATATATATATATATATATATATATATATATATATATATATATATATATATATATATATATATATATATATATATGTGTGTGTGTGTGTGTGTGTGTGTGTGTGTGTGTGTGTGTGTGTGTGTGTGTGTGTGTGTGTGTGAGTGTGTGTGTGTGTGGTCACGAAAAATAAACACGTGATTAAAAATGTGACAGTGTCAGACCACGGAGGAAAATTGAAACAGGAATTTCCGTATGTACTTTCATATATTAATATCAATTCGCACTCCTTCTGAAGATGTATTAATATACGAAAGTACTTAAGGGAATTCCTGTTTCAATTTTCCTCCGTGGTCTGACACTGTCATTCTCCTGTTAAGACAGTACTTTTTTGTTACTATGTGCACCATAGTACAAATATTGACGTACTAAGCAGTAAGATAGTAGAATTTGGTACTACTATAGAGCCCGAAATAGATTAAGGTAGAAAATAAACTTATATATTCCCAGGCCTAGTATAGCGCACATATGTACTATACTAGGCCTCAGATGGCGTGTAGTAGGCCTAGGAAGGTTAGGTTAGGTTAGGTTAGGTTAGGTTAGGTTAGGTTAGGTTAGGTTGTCTTTGCAACATAAATACAGAATCTTTTCCGGTTTGTCCAAATTCAGTAGCAACGATTACTGCTTTCTTAACTCTCCGTGGTGTAGTGGTAAGACACTCGCCTGGCGTTCCGCGAGCGTTATGTCATGGGTTCGTATCCTGGCCGGGAAGGATTTACTGGGCGCAATTCCTCAACTGTAGCCTCTGTTTAACGCAACAGTAAAATGTGTACTTGGATGAAAAAACGATTCTTCGCGGCAGGGGATCGTATTCCAGGGACCTGCCCGAAACGCTACGCGTACTAGTGGCTGTACAACAATGTAACAACTCTTGTATATATCTCAGTATCTCTCATCTCTCTAATGGCCCATTACATCATATATGTACTATGGTCCTCATCGGTACTATAAGTACTAATGAAACAGGAGGATAGGCTGTACATACATGTACACACACACATAAGAGAATGGATATTTCATAAAGAAAAATGAATTTTGGAGAATTGATATTTCCATTACCACCGACAGTGAAGAAAAACATAAGAAATATTGAGAAAATTCGCGTTAGAATTATTAATCTTACCTTTTCGGTTATATTCAACAACACATAAAGAGGTATACGTAATCTTGAGGTTATCTTGAGATGGTTTCGGGGCTTTAGTATCCCCGCGGCCCGGTCCTCGACCAGGCCTCCACCCCTAGGAAGCAGCCCGTGACAGCTGACTAACTCCCAGGTACCTATTTACTGCTAGGTAACAGGGGCATAGGGTGAAAGAAACTCTGCCCATTGTTTCTCGCCGGCGCCTAGGATCGAACCCGTGACAACAGGATCACAAGTCCAGTGTGCTGTCCGCTCAGCCGACCGGCTCCGTAAGCATCCACTAGGAAAATGAAACGAACATTCTGAACGTTTTTGTGTTTTTCCACATTATCGAGGAAATATTTCGTTGATACTGTGTTTTTTTGTGAATTTTCTTGCAACAGAGAAGCATATATTCCCCGGTTTTCAGTGTATATGTTCAGAGCGGTTTCTTTTGTATGGGCTATGTCCAGGACTATGGTATACTTGCTGGTTGGTCAGTAAGGTGTTGTGGTGGTCTTAATAACCCTCCAGAGGTTGATAGGTTTTAAGTCCAACACCAAACTTGCTGGTTGGTCAGTAAGGTGTTGTGGTGGTCTTAATAACCCTCCAGAGGTTGATAGGTCTTAAGTCCAACACCAAACTTGCTGGTTGGTCAGTAAGGTGTTGTGGTGGTCTTAATAACCCTCCAGCGGTTGATAGGTCTTAAGCCCAACACCAAAGAGGGTGAGGTATAACATCTTTTCATCAAGCGTAGAGGAACGTATGAAATGGAAATATTTCGATGGCTTGCAATCAGTTCGACTGCTGTCGTCGGGCACTGGGTAAGGAGTTCAGGAACGTGTCATCACACCTGATGCCTCTGTTCACCTAGCAGTCAATAGGTACCCGGAAGTTAGATAAATAGATAAATGTTGAGGGGCTGCATCTTTCACATTTCTTGGTGCTGATTTCAGATTTCTTTTAAAGCTTAATTTCTTATCTATGACTTCCAAACCGTAGATTAAATTTGTGTTTTTTTCCGATAAAAATTACTATCTTTTAGTGTTGCTAGTAATTTTTTTCTTTGGGGACAAGAAGCCTGCATATATGTATAATATATGCTTGTATTGAGGTCCCACCCAAGGTAGAACCGCTGACCTACCCCCAGGGTGCAACCCACAGCAGTTGACTAACTCCCGGGTACCTATTGACTGCTGGGTGGACAGAGGCATTAGGTGATCAGAAACGTGCCCAACCATTTCCGCCACCCCCTCTGCGTATCAAACCCGGGATCCCCAATTGTGAGTCGAGAACGAAAGCAAATATATCGTGAGAAAATCAGTAGGATCTATATGGAGGCTTCGTACACACACGTACACACACACACACACACACGTACACACACACACACACACACACACACACACACACACACACACACACACACACGTGTACACACACACACACACGTGTACACACACACACACGTACACACACACACACACACACACACACACACACACACACACACACACACACACACACACACACACACACACACACACACACACACGCGCACACACATCGAACACTTTATGTAGGACATACGCAAATCTGTGTATCTATGTATTTACGAATGTAGGTTATCTTAGCATCTTATCATTTTAAAAGCACTACAATCACCTTCTGTGGTTGATTGTTCAATAAATCACTGAACTATGTGTTTAACACATCTCTAACCCTGTCCATGGAAGACAGAAGAAAATGTATGTATGCTTGTTAGCATTGTTAATGTGTGGCCACGTCTGTGGTAGAAAAAAAACCACTCTCTACAGGGAGCTGGTGGCTGAGTGGACAGCGCTCTAGGCTCGTGGACCTAGGGGGTTCGATCCCCGCAGCCGGCGGAAACAGATGGGCAGAGTTTACTTCACCCTGATGCCATTGTTACCTAGTAGTAAATAGGTACCTGGGAGTTAGAGAGCTGCTACGGGCTGCTTCCTGGGGATGTGTGTGGGGGTGAAACAAAATTAGTTAGTAGTTAGTAACAATTGATTGATTGACAGTTGAGAGGCGGGCCGAAAGAGCAGAGCTCAACCCCCGCAAGCATAACTAGGTGAATACACTCGACATCCCCCAATGCTTGTGTTAAATGCTTGCTGCCTTATCACCATATTCAGAGGTTTCAGACCAAGCCTCTAGTGAAGGTTACGATCAACCAGGCTGTTGGACGTCGCCACATGCATCTTCAACGTCGAAATGACAAGTCTAATGGATTTGTTTACACCTGAAATTATTATTAATATTTTCCCCAGGGAGGTGGACGTGTGGGCATCAGGATGTTTACTCTCTGAGATGCTGACGGGAGAACCACTTTTCCCAGGAGAGTCAGACATAGATCAACTTTTCCACATTATCCAGACACTTGGTGAGTCATGATGAGTAGCGTGAGTCATGGAACACACTTGGAAGTGTGAGTACAGTGAGTCATTGTGTACACAAGGGCATGGGGTACAGTGAGTCATTGTGTACACAAGGGCATGGGTACAGTGTGTTATTGTGTACACAAGGGCATGGGGTACAATGAGTCATTGTGTACACAAGGGCATGGGTACAGTGAGTTATTGTGTTCACAAGGGCATGGGGTACAGTGAGTCATTGTGTACACAAGGGCATGGGTACAGTGAGTCATTGTGTACACAAGGGCATGGGTACAGTGAGTCATTGTGTTCACAAGGGCATGGGTACAGTGAGTCATTGTGTTCACAAGGGCATGGGTACAGTGTGTTATTGTGTACACAAGGGCATGGGTACAGTGAGTCATTGTGTACACAAGGGCATGGGTACAGTGAGTCATTGTGTACACAAGGGCATGGGTACAGTGAGTTATTGTGTACACAAGGGCATGGGGTACGGTGAGTCATTGTGTACACACACGGACATGGGTACAGTGAGTAATTTTGTACACATGGGCATGAATATAGTGAGTCATTGTGTACACATAAGCATGAATACATTGAGTCATTGGGTTTACATAGGTATGAGTATAGAAATTCACCACTTGTTCATAGGTAAGACTCGTTAAAAAGTTTTAACTTAAAAATCGAAAAAAGCTAATGATAATAATTATACAAATAATATATAATAATAATTAATAATAATAATAATATAATAATAATAATAATAATAATTTATTCACAGTAAGGTATAATGTAATGAAGAGATTACATAAGATTGCTATTTTTACATTCTTGCAAAGCCACTGACACACATAGCGTTTCGGACAGGTCCTTAATCTAACATATCAGGTAAGATAAAATGGTACATAGCAACAAGGTTTTATATCAACAAATAACTACAATATAAGTTGACAGTGGTGATTACACTGATAAGGATACTGTATGTATCTTAAGTACTAATGTTGGGGAAGTGGGTAGTACAAGATACAGTGTGAGTTTGTAGCACTAAGTAGGAAACTCTGAGGATGAAATTAAGTATTTTTTTGTTTTACGGTTGAATAAGGCATAGGTTAGACAGTTTTTTAATTCATCAGGGACGGAGTTCCGTAGACTGGGCTCTTTTTATATTTGCATGGAGGGATTGCACAGATTTAGCCTGACTCTGGGGATATCAAAGATATATTTATTTCTAGTGTGGTGCTCATGGGTTCTATTTCACCTATCAAGGAAAAGTTTCAGATCAAGGTTAGCATTTAAGAACAAGGTTTTGTACATGTAGATAGCACATGAGAATGTGTAGAGTGTATGTTTAACATGTTAAGGGACTTGAACAAAGGGTCTGTGTGTTGTCTGAAGACAGAGTTTGTCATAGTTCTGATAGCAGATTTTTGCAGAGTTATGATGAGCGTGAGGTAATCTGCAGTGGTTGAACCCCATGCACAGATACTGTATGTAAGATAGGGATAGATTAGCTTGTAGTATAATGAGAGGAGAGCAGAGTGGGGAACATAATATCTGATTTTAGAAAGTATTCTGACCGCTTTTGAGACTTTCTTTGGGTGTGTTGTATGTGGGTGCTGAAGTTGAGTCTCTTGTCTATGTATAGGCCAAGAAACTTCCCCTCATTTTTATTGCTAATGTTAACATTGTCTATCTGAAATTGAATTTGATTTGGTGATTTACTTCCAAATAAAATGTAGTAGGTCTTTTCTGTGTTTAGTCTAAGTTTGTTAGTTGACACCTATGAATGGACTTTTTTTTTTAAATTAAGTGTTGACAATATTATTTAGTGTTTGGGGAGTTGGGGTCGGAATAGATGACAGTAGTATCGTTAGCAAACAGTATAGGTTTAAGAATGTTAGAACCATTAGGCAAGTCATTGATGTATACTAGAAATAGGAAAGGTCCCAAGATGCTGCCCTGTGGCACCCCTACTATCAGTGGTAGAGTAGGGCAGGTTATGTTATTGATGACTGCATATTGGTGTCTGTCACTGAGAAAGGAACGAATATAGTTCAGAGCAAGGCTTCGGATACCATGGTTACGTTTAAGTAAGAAGTTATGTTTTACAGTATCAAAGGCTTTTCTCAGGTCAATGGAGAGGTCAGTTGGGAACTCATTTTTGTCAAGGGCTGAGGAGATTATATCAAGCAGACTAATAATGGCGTCATTGGTACTCTTTTTATAAACGGAAGCCAAACTGGCAGGGACTTAATATATTGAGTTTTACAGAGTAGGAATAGAGCTGTTTGTAAATAATCATTTCAAATATTTTTTAAAGTATAGGTAGATATGATATTAGTCTGTATTGTTTATGTCAGCTGTCTCGCCTCCTATAGATGGTTATTGAGGAGACTCGATAGGCCTGCCACTGGGCCTGACAAATGCCTGAATAAACCCAAATAGACAGTTAAGGGGAAATTTGACAAGCCGCCGGCTTCCTTTCCTCGTCGAGGCCACTACAGATAGTGGCCCTCAGGTTAATTCAGGTAAATTCAGGTAAACAATCAATAGACAGCAAGGGGTCAAGATAATAGAAAACGTATACATTGGTCAAAGACAGAAAACGTTAATAGTTGGCAATAGTGGTAAACTAAATTAAATATTTTGTGTTCGAGTAGTGCGCTTAAGGGATTTTTAATCAGTAGGGTTAACAGGCTATTGTTATCCGCAGGGGAGCTGAGCTCGTCCCACCGTCAAATGGTTGAGAGGAACCCAATGCTGGCGGGCCTGCGACTTCCGGCAGCAGCATCCACACCTCTCATCTCCTCCTTCCCAACATGGTCGAGCCGCGTCCACTCCTTCATCGCTAAATGCCTCTGTCTGGAGCCCTCGGCACGCCCGTCGGCGCAGGAGCTCCTCAACCACGAATTCTTCACTCACGATGATTTCCCAGAGACATTCCTGCCGGTGCTCCGGCAGAAGGTACAGCAGGAGTTCAGCGGCAATACCCTCCTTGGCCTGAATGGGCGACGAGGCTCGAGCACAACGGACAGACGAGGACGGGGGAGTAAGGCTCCCGGAGGCACGAGCCCCGAGAGTGTGTACGGCACGGGCCTCACAAGGGCGCTACAGACTCACCCACCACCACCACCCACCACCACCAAGGCTGATAACCCGCCCCCGGTCAGGTCAGTCTCAGTGGCAGTGGTGGCACTAGTGTGGTAGCAGTAGCAACAGTACTTACCTAGTTACCTAGTTGTGCTTGCGGGGGTTGAGCTTTGGCTCTTTGGTCCCGCCTCTCAACTGTCAATCAACTAATGTACAGGTTCCTGAGCCTATTGGGCTCTATCATATCTACACTTGAAACTGTGTATGGAGTCAGCCTCCACCACATCACTTCCTAATGCATTCCATTTGTCAACCACTCTGACACTGAAAAAATTCTTTTAAACGTCCCTGTGGCTCATTGCCACATTGCACAGTGTGGCAGTAGTAGTGATAACCAACGTAACAGAGGTAAATATATATGTAAGATAACCTTAATATTTGCACCAGATAATGCCAAGTGAAGTATTCAATGCATTTTGCTACCTTTTAACCCCTATGCTGCGCCAACCACTATATGCAATTTTTCCCCATTTGATTTGTTGACAATTTTTTATAGTAATGTGTTCCTGGATGTGGTATAATTAAATAGCTGCACAATTTAGGGGTTAAAGTGAGAGCAAAAGCTTTTTATATTTCCCTATGAGGGTAATATGAGAGTACTACAGTATATTGACTATAATGATTAGGGACCCAAGCTCAACACATTAGTACCCTGGAAACACAAACCGAAACTGTCTCTATTTTCCGCTTGTTACAACTTGTAATAAAGTTGTTACATCTTGGCTTAACGTGTTTATGACGTATTAGAACGTTGTTACAACTTGCTATATTGGTTGTTATAACTGGTTAGGAGGTGTTAAAACTTGTTCGAACGTTGTACCAACGTCGTAGTTTCGGTGTGTGTTTGGCGGGTAGGGATCACGATGGTAAAAGGGAAACATAAAAAAAAGATAAACATTTTGTCATTAACAAAATACATTTGTTTTCTCTCATTCTCTTACGAGTTATTTAAAAAGGGATATTCGGCAATCTCTTATATGTCTCGTTTAGCTTGTCAACTGTGTTGCGTCCCAGTACAAGTTACAGCCCCGCTCCTGTGCCAGGTAAGTCCACTACGGGCTCACCATAGCCCGTGCTACTTGCCCCGCTCCTGTGCCAGGTAAGTCCACTACGGGCTCACCATAGCCCGTGCTACTTGCCCCGCTCCTGTGCCAGGTAAGTCCACTACGGGCTCACCATAGCCCGTGCTACTTGCCCCGCTTCTGGACCAGGTAAGTCCACTACGGGCTCACCATAGCCCGTGCTACTTGCCCCGCTCCTGTGCCAGGGAAGTCCACTACGGGCTCACCATAGCCCGTGCTACTTGCCCCGCTCCTGTGCCAGGTAAGTCCACTACGGGCTCACCATAGCCCGTGCTACTTGCCCCGCTCCTGTGCCAGGTAAGTCCACTACGGGCTCACCATAGCCCGTGCTACTTGCCCCGCTCCTGTGCCAGGTAAGTCCACTACGGGCTCACCATAGCCCGTGCTACTTGCCCCGCTTCTGGACCAGGTAAGTCCACTACGGGCTCACCATAGCCCGTGCTACTTGCCCCGCTCCTGTGCCAGGGAAGTCCACTACGGGCTCACCATAGCCCGTGCTACTTGCCCCGCTCCTGTGCCAGGTAAGTCCACTACGGGCTCACCATAGCCCGTGCTACTTGCCCCGCTCCTGTGCCAGGTAAGTCCACTACGGGCTCACCATAGCCCGTGCTACTTGCACCGCTCCTGTGCCAGGTAAGTCCACTACGGGCTCACCATAGCCCGTGCTACTTGCCCCGTTCCTGGGCCAGGTAAGTCCACTACGGGCTCACCATATCCCGTGCTACTTGCCCCGCTCCTGTGCCAGGTAAGTCCACTACGGGCTCACCATAGCCCGTGCTACTTGCCCCGCTCCTGTGTTAGTTAAGTCCACTACGGGCTCACCATAGCCCGTGCTACTTGCCCCGCTCCTGTGCCAGGTAAGTAAACTACGGGGTCACCATAGCCCGTGCTACTTGCCCCGCTCCTGTGCCAGGTAAGTCCACTACGGGCTCACCATAGCCCGTGCTACTTGCCCCGCTTCTGGACCAGGTAAGTCCACTACGGGCTCACCATAGCCCGTGCTACTTGCCCCGCTTCTGGACCAGGTAAGTCCACTACGGGCTCACCATAGCCCGTGCTACTTGCCCCGCTTCTGGACCAGGTAAGTCCACTACGGGCTCACCATAGCCCGTGCTACTTGCCCCGCTCCTGTGCCAGGTAAGTCCACTACGGGCTCACCATAGCCCGTGCTACTTGCCCCGCTCCTGTGCCAGGTAAGTCCACTACGGGCTCACCATAGCCCGTGCTACTTGCCCCGCTCCTGGGCTAGTTAAGTCCACTACGGGCTCACCATAGCCCGTGCTACTTGCCCCGCTCCTGTGCCAGGTAAGTCCACTACGGGCTCACCATAGCCCGTGCTACTTGCCCCGCTTCTGGACCAGGTAAGTCCACTACGGGCTCACCATAGCCCGTGCTACTTGCCCCGCGCCTGTGCCAGGTAAGTCCACTACGGGCTCACCATAGCCCGTGCTACTTGCACCGCTCCTGTGCCAGGTAAGTCCACTACGGGCTCACCATAGCCCGTGCTACTTGCCCCGCTTCTGGACCAGGTAAGTCCACTACGGGCTCACCATAGCCCGTGCTACTCGCAACTCTTTGTTCTCAGTAAATGAATCTAAAACTAACTTTGTAAGCATTCAGTATCACTTGCTAAAGATGTATATACCTGGTTATCTTGAGGTTATCTTGAGATGATTTCGGGGCTTTTAGTGTCCCCGCGGCCCGGTCCTCGACTAGGCCTCCACCCCCAGGAAGCAGCCCGTGACAGCTGACTAACACCCAGGTACCTATTTTACTGCTAGGTAACAGCAAAAGTGAAAGCAAAAGCTATTTATATTCCGCTATAAGGGTAATATGAGAGCACTACAGTATATTGACTATACTGAATAGGGACCAAAGCCAATAGGGTGAAAGAAACTCTGTCTGCCCATTATTTCTCGCCGGCGCTCGGGATCGATTCCAGGACCACAGGATCACAAGTCCAGCGTGCTGTCCGCTCGGCCGACCGGCTCCTCCCTCTACACAGAGGAAGTTTCGAACTATTCAGTGTATACAGGCCGTAATACAGTCGACTTCGTTCTTGACGCACAATCGTGAATCCCGGGCGGGACTTAAATGGTTGGGCACGTTTCCTTTCACCTAATGCTGCTGTTCACCCAGCAGTAAGTAAGTACTCAGAAGTTAGTGAGCTCGTTGTGGGTTTGCATCCTGGGCGGGGTCAGTAATTCGACTTTTGGGGGGGGGGGGTTAAGGAAGGAAGAGAACTCTGAGGAGAAAGCGCCAAGCCATTACGACTATATAGCACTTGGAAGGGGTCAGGATAAGGACTTGGGATGGGACGGGGGGAAGGAATGGTGCCCAACCACTTGGACGGTCGGGGATTGAACGCCGACCTGCATGACGCGAGACCGTCGCTCTACCGTCCAGCTCAAGTGGTTGGGCGACCTTGCGAGGTACCTCAATATAAGCCTTATTATTATTAACATCATAATTGACAAAATTAATTACAAATTTGCCTAAGCTGAGGATTTCAATTAAGCCTTATTAAAGTGAGGATAATACTGGTATTCACTGTCACGCAGGACAGAGGGTCATACACAAGACAATAAGTCTAAACTGTAGGCGGAAGCACACATATATCATGGTTACAAATATAAGCCTAACGTCCATGAATACACTCTGGCCTCCTGTCCCCCGACATAATGAATTATTATACATTGAAAGTTTACTTTAGTCCTCAGCTCTGTTCAGGATTAAAGTATACTTGGTGGTTAATCAGTCAGCTAATGTTAAGGTCTTAATGAAGACTCTACCACACACCACAAGATGAGGAGACGACGACGTTTCGGTCCGTCCTGGATCATTATCAAGTCACAATCGACTTAATAATTGTCCAAGATGGACCGAAATGTCGCCGTCTCATCATCTGGTGTGTAGTTTGGTCATCATATTTTCTTCTCATTCCCACTCCGTTCCCATCTTCACCGACGGGTCAAAGTCTGCTGACGGTGTGGGCTACTCTGTTGTTTTTCCTAACCACACTTACATGTGTCGCCTTCCTCCGGAGGCTAGCATCTTCACAGCAGAACTCTATGCTATTCTCTATGCTCTTCGTCTCCTGCTTTCCCGGTGTCAATCCTCCTTCGTGGTAGTAGTTGACTCTCGTAGTGCCCTCGTGGCTTTAGGGTCCTTTAATCCAGTCCACCCTGTGGTCATCGAGATTCAACATTGGCTGTTTCTTATCTCCAGTAAATTTAAGTCGGTTGCATTTTGCTGGGTTCCTAGCCATGTTGGTGTCTCTTTAAATGAGCGTGCGGATGCTGCCGCTAAGGACGCTATCCGCACTTGTCCCATCTCCCATGAAGGTGTTCCTTATTCCGACTTTTACCCAGTTATTCATGCCTCCATTCTTGCCCGATGGCAGAGTTGTTGGTCTTCTGTTATTGGTAACAAACTGCGTACTCTTAAGAGTCGTGTGTCCCAGTGGCCTTCCTCCTGCCACCGTAACCGGCGGTGGGAAACAGCTCTGGCTAGGTTACGTATTGGCCATACCCGTTTAACTCACGGTCACTTAATGGAGCGCCGCCCTGCTCTTTATTGTCCAAATTGCATTGTCCCTCTTATGGTCGTACATATCCTTGTTGAATGTCCTGACTTCCAGGACGAGCGTGTGTTTTGTTTTCCGACCATCCCCCGCGGTCGCTTGTCCCTCGATAGAATTCTTGGCAACTCGGATACTTTTGATATCGTTCACCTTATGCGTTTTTGTTCTCGTATTGGCATCCTTGGTGATATTTAGCGCCCTCTGATTATCCCGCACATTTGATGGTGCTACATAGCCTTCCCGGTTTGGTGCCTTCTATTGATAATTACTTACCTTGGTCATCATATCTTCAGCCACGTTATTGTGACTCATCTTCTGCTTAGGGTCTTAATAATCTTCCAGAGATTAATGAGGAAATATTATAGCCACACAATGGGATCGAACTTTTGGCTCAAAGTTACGTCTCGTTCTTGTGCTTCCATTCACATGACTTAAGTCCAACATTATACCTGTTTGTTTCCAGATGCTCACCTACGAAGCTCTCCCACATAAACCAGCCACAGGGACAACAGCAAATCCCCCTCACTCGTCCTACAGTATCCTTCGCCCCTCTAACGCCCTCCCACGTCAGGAGCGAACCTTCTGGACCCAGCACGGGAGGAGTCACCACCACTACTACCACCACCACCAGCAGCTCAGGCGTAGTATCCAATGAAGTGACATCCGTCAACCTGCACTCCATGCTCATCCCGCCCTTGCGAGACATGCACACAGGGGCTCCGTCATCCGGCACGCCCTCTACCAATGTTCCCACAACCACCATCAACAACAACACCATTGCTCTCACACTTCACATCGCTGCCACTGCTAATATTCCATCACCAGCACGCACTAGCAGGCAAGTCAGTTCAAAATACAATTTGTGACATTATGAGACACTATATCTCTATAAAATAGAATGTACGTCTGCCTATCTATCCGAGATTGGAAAACAGACGCTTCGGGCTAGCCTCATCGAACTATTCACTGTGATTGCTGTCTGATAGGTGCCCAACATGGCTGGATCGGAAAATAATGGCATTTTTTTCTTCCCCATTGTCTGTAGAGGAAACGAAAAAGGCCGTAAGTCTCCAGTCAGCCTCTGGGGCACCAGCCTTAAAAGCCGAGGTCAGGGTCTCTGCATTCAGGGTCAAGGCCAGGCTCCAGGCCAAAGCCAGGGCCACTGGGATGAAGACGACCACTTTGGCTTCGGCTTGGCACTAGAGGGGCCCCCGTCCATCATCTCAGGCCTTCGCCATCATCCGAGTGATGCCGCACGCCCCTCCGACGCCTCCCGGACCAGCGAACTCACCCGCCACCCGTACACCATCAGCCTGGACCGGACCAAGGAGCTGGTGTCACGAGAGCCGAGGGAGAACGCGACCTATAGAGACAGTCACTTTAGGGAGTTCGCAAGGGACCCACTCAAGGAGATCAAAGATAACCCCAGGGATCCACTCGGGCACAGGGACTTGAGGGACTCTGTTCGTCGTCAGAAGTTCGAGGTTATGGGGTGGTCTAAGAGAGGGGCTCTCAACACCGACCTCTCTCTTCCCAACGTCCCTGGAGGTAAGTCTTACCTTTCTTATGACCCGCTAGCTTTTGTTTTTATGCAGAAGGAAGCTTTTATTGTCCCAAAGCTTTTTTTTTATGCAGAAGGAAGCTTTTATTGTCCCAAAGCTTTTTTTTTATGCAGAAGGAAGCTTTTATTGTCCCAAAGCTTTTTTTTATGCAGAAGGAAGCTTTTATTGTCCCAAAGCTTTTTTTTTATGCAGAAGGAAGCTTTTATTGTCTAGAAGCTTATTTTTTTTATCCAAAAGGAAGCTTTTGTTGTCCAGTAGCTTTTTTATTTAGAAACAAGTTTTTATATACTGGCTCTAAACCTCTGGTTTTCAGTCTTACAGCAACTAAATTACTCGATCGTAAGTCGAGGCAGAATCTTGCCCTCTGATCTTGCATGACGCTTACGATGTCTGGAAGTTAAGATGAATATTATGTGCAAAAGCAGCAGTAGAATTAATGTAGATTAAACTGATGAAGAGAAAAAGTAAAATTATATGCAATACACTGAAAAAAATGGTTATGGAGAACATAATATAAAATTCTCATTGGCATTGATTCATTCAGTTACACTGTAATACGAGTCTGGGGCCAGATTCACGAAGCAGTTACGTAAGCACTTACGAACCAGGTCAGATTCACGGAGCAGTTACGCAAGAACTAACGAACGTGTACATCTTTCCTCAATCTTTGACGCTCTTGGTTACATTTATTAAACAGTTTACAAGCATGAAAACTTGCCAATTAACTGTTGTTATTGTTATAAACAGCCTCCTGGTGCTTCGGAGCTCATTAACTGTTTAATAATTGTAAACAAAGCCGCCAAAAATTGAGAAAAGATGTACAGGTCCGTAAGTGCTTGCGTAACTGCTTCGTGAATCTGGCCCCTGGTTCATTCTTAAGCATTGATATATCTTCAACAGCGTGGGTAAAGAGTCACTGATATCAGGTAAGATTCGCAGGCAATAACAATTGCCTGCTGTTATTATTTTGTGTTTTTGCTTACATAAGAGACATGTGCTAACAACTTACACGGATTGTTGCTATTTTGAGGCTGAACTGAACAGCTAGTGAGACTCGCTAAGCAAGTGTGTCTCACCCCCTTACATAAAAGCACCCTCATTCATACGGCTGGGATCATATATATATATATATATATATATATATATATATATATATATATATATATATATATATATATATATATATATATATATATATATATATATATATCCCAGCACCTGGTCCTTATATTTCAGCTTTCTATCCCTCATACCCTGTCCAAGTGCATTATAGTCTAACTGGCTTAGCCCCTTATCCTCATAATTGCCGTAATTACATGAGGACCTACTGAAGGAATGGTGTCCAACCCATTTAGACTATTGAGGATCGAACGCCAACCCTGTAGGAGGCGAGGCCGTTGTTGTACCGAACTATTAAGTCGATAGGTCATTCATATTCTAGAAAATACCTTAACATAATACAAATATTTATGACCTGTGTTATAAGAATATAAATCTCTACCCACTAAGAGGTCAATTAAAAAAACATTAAAAAAGCACTAATTCATTATTAAAATTGAAGTGTGTTTGTTTTAACCACTTTATAACATCTATCTTAACATTTTGCTAGTTTTATCTTCCAAATATTTTATCATCCAAAAAAGCAAACTTTATAGATCCTAATGTATAATGTATTTCAACACCAAAAAGTTTTATCTTCCAAATATTTTATCACCCAAAAAAGCAAACATCATAGATCCTAATGTATAATGTATTTCAACACCAAAATACTTTTTGACAGTTTCATCGGCTGTGCCTACAGGAGTGAGCAGCCCTAAGAAGAGTGGCGGGGAGGGAGCAGGAGGCTTGGCCAGGACCCGCAGGAGCGGCGCAGGGGTCACAATGCCCTGTCTCGGTGCTCTGCAGAGGAACTCAGCCACCTCGGTGAGTCTTCGGCCCCGATGACGGTAAGGAAGTGGTGGTGACTGTAGCGGTGACTGTAGTGGTGACTGTAGCGGTACATGCACTATATAGGAGGGGGGGTAGTGTTGGTCTGACCACGGAGTTACAGTCCCACTCCTGTGCCAGGTAAGTCCACTATGGGCTCACCATAGCCCGTGCTACTTGGAACTTTATGTTCCCAGTTGCTGAATCTAAAACAACAACAACAACAATGGTCTGACCAATATAAGTAACTGAGCTAGGTTGGGATAGGTTTGATTAGGTTAGGATCGGTTGGTTTAGGTTAGGTAATATGTTGGGGGTATCTCCTTCTCTATATTTTTCACCCAGAGAGAATGTACACGCATATCTTTACACAGGAGCCACCTGTACATCCACAAAGCTTGGGGAATGTGGACTCAGTGCATGAGAGTCATCGAGGAAGAGTGTGGGCGTTGTCAAGTGTGACACACTACACAAGGCACACAACTCCCTTGTGTAGTTGTGAGCCAGAGTTCACCAGAACTTATTCACCAGAACTTATTCACCAGAACTTATTCACCAGAACTTATTCTTGTTGTCCCGCCTCACTGATTTCAATATTTATTGGTGTCTCGTCATATATTTATATCCACAGACTACTAGTATGACGTTAGTCTCCAAGCTAATACCTTAATTAAATAAACAAGACAAGCACAGAGATGTATATCCACCACATAATATAGATTTACAATATAAATTTGTAAATATAAGTCATCACTGGCTCCGGTAAACTGATGTTTGTAATATTTACAATCTCTTTAACGTATATACCAACCATCGTTTGATCGTTGTTTTTCAACGTTTGTTAAACGGGTCAAACGCCTTTCACAGTCTTATCGAACACTGCAAGGGGTATATCAAGGCTTTCATCAATCCTCATAAGTAAGGCAGTACAGGAGTAGCTGAATGGATGCCAAGCTGAAGTCAGGCCACATGTCTCCTCAGTGGATGGAGCCGGAATAGAGTCCTTCTCTCTCTCTTTGTACTAGATGACCCTTCAGGCTGACCTCGCGCAAATCACCTCCCAGGGTCAGCAGGGCCCATTGACTTACTTTCTTTCCTTTCCGTTTCCGTTTTACTTTCACCAGCAGTTTTACTTTCACTTTCGCTGCCATGTCTCTTGTCTCTTCTTAATTTCGAGTTCCGCTGTCGACTGCCACCAACGACTATCTATTAGTTTTACTTTCACCAGCATTAACTTTCAGAAAGGCATATATTGGGATAGGTGGTTTTGGAAATAACAGTCAATAAAGAGTAGTATTCGTGACTTAGGTTAGGTTAAAATAGGATATTAAAATATCCTTAGGTAAGGTATCCTCACCGTGGTTAGGTAAGGTAAGGTTAGGTTAGATAAGGTTAGGTTAGCTAAGGTTAGGTTAGATTAGATTAGATAAGGTAAGGTTAGGTCAGGTCAGGTTAGGAATAGTGCATATACCTAACTAGTGGATACATATACATGTCATATAAATACCCTGCAAGTACTCGTGTCATCTTCCCTCCCTTGTTCAGTAATACAATTTCCAATTTACTTGAGTGCTAGGAAGATCTAGTTAAGATTACCGGTACATAGGAGGTCATGATTTTGTTCTACCATCCACTTAATATAGTACTTAAATGCATAACATCCTGTATTTCCCCCCCTCCCACCCCACCCCCTGTCCAACCACGAAAATAATTGTGAAAATCATTTTTAATACGTGTTAAGTAAATTATTCTAAAAAAATACTTTTAAATTAGATGCGTTATTATACACCAGAAAAATACTGTAATTATTTGTTAATAAATAACTGCTAAAGTATTAGGAATTATGGACCGAATGGTCATCACATAAGGGTGTAAGAAAGGACTGAAAGGTTGTCTCATAATTTGTGAGTTACGTTAGTTATATGGATTTTTAAATAACACATATCACTATAATTTTTTTCAGTCTTATTTGCATTTGATTTACCTCCAGGCTGAGATCTAATCACCTAATTAAAGGGAAAAGAACATAATTGTTATATATGTATATGTATGAATGATTATAAATAACAGGTGTCCTATTTTGACATCTTAAGAGACGATATGTATGTGTTAACTTTAATGAATATCATTTGAAATCTTGTTAATCTTATTTTGTTTACAGATCGACTCGGCATCGCCATCCCCTCTAGCGAATCTGCCGTATGTCTGACAAAATAGACCTAAGCTTGTAAGGCCTCGCCTAGGCCCTCCAGGCTTTGATAAGCTCCCTCCGTGCGTAAATAAGTATGCCTCGTCCGTAGACAAGTACGTACCGGGTGTGGACAAGTACGTACCGTGTGTGGACAAGTACGTAATGGGCGTGGATAAGTATGTTCCAAGTTTGAGCAATGTTCGCCCCATATGCCGACAAGTTAGCCCTGCTCGTAGACAGAAACTCGCGCTTGGAAAAGTTCGGCCTCGCGAATGACTACAATTTTCATGATACAAGTCATGGGCTCATTCCAGGTGTGTACAAGCCCTCCCCAAGCTTGGGTGATCTTACGCAATGTGAATACAAGACGTCTCCAAGGTTGAAAGATCTCAAAACCACGTACACAAACAATCTCCGAGCTTAGAAAATCTCACTGAATGTGTGTTTACGCATACTCATCCAAAGCCTGGGAGATCTCACTCTCATACAAGCCTTCTTCAAGCTTGTAATGTTTTGCCTCATGTATAACAATGCTTTCCTAATTAAGTAAGATATATCCACTTGAACTTTTGCAACTATGCTAATGTGGGCGTCTTTTCGTTGATCTCATGTCAATGTCTGGAGTCTTGAAGTGTAAATTTTATCCTAGTTACGATATTAACGATTACCCTGGTTTTTGGGTGTCAAACTATTTTCTGTGGTTAAATGGAGCGCTGACTTTGGTCTCACATAAGTAGAAAATCATTTTCTGGTTTGTCCAAATTCAGTAGTAATGATTTGTACTTTCTAATTGTGTTGTACGTTTGTATATATATACTACTGTCCTCATCCTTCCTCTAAGTACAGTACTACCCAAGCTGGAGGATGGGCTGCACGAACCTTAAGTTTAAGAGCAAATCCAGCAAACACACGGTGCTGTAAAAACGTTTTGTTATGTCATAAAAACGTTTTGTTACATAAAAGAAACGTTTTATGTAAAAAAAAAGTTATGTTACAACATCAAAAAACGTTATGCTATGTCAACAAATGCTGTGGTTATGTTGTGGGTTGGGTGGGATGTGTGGGTTTGGACTCTCTGTGCCCACATGGTAAAAAAAAACTCTTACTGATCCAGTTCAGTGGGGAAATCCAGAGTTACAACTTCAGTGCTCAAATTACCTATTTATTACTCTTATATTTGTAATCACTTAATAATATATATATTTATTTGGAACCGTAACAGGAGCTAAAAATTCTGTTTCTTTTTTGCTTTTTAATAGACGAAGACATTTAAGAAAAAAATAACATTGGATATTTATTAACTCCAGGAAAGATTAGGATCTAAGCAATCACGCCAAAAGCAAATTTTTCACGAGAATTTGAATAGGTCTATAGATATTAGTTTTATTTTCACGAGTCAAGGGTGCATAAGACTCTTAAGATCTCGGTTTAATTTTGATATAAATATTAATTCACTGACACATGTGAAAGGTATATATATATATATAACAGGAGTATTTGAGGTGTATAGATTGACATATCTTGAGAGTGTAGTCATATAAGGTTGCTGCTCAAGATGTTTTTTTAAGGTCTTAATGTCTGAAACAAGTGGAACTTTTGTAAAAGTCAAAAGTCGAGCCCAGAAAGAATACGGTAATAGCCGGTGAACTTTACTCTCTCGAGAGAGAAGCTCAAAGAATATTTTGGACATCAAAGGAAATGATTTAGAGGAACACGTACAGTAATGTTTGGTGAGTAGGAATTTTTTAACATGGACTATGAATAGTTAATTATGAGCCTTAAGTGCCAAGCCACTACGACTACTTAGCCCATTGGATTGATGTGAGGAAAAGGAGCGTGGATAGGACAAGGAGCTGGGATATGAGGACAAGGAGCTGGGATATGAGGACAAGGAGCTGGGATATGAGGACAAGGAGCTGAGATATGAGGACAAGGAGCTGGGATATGAGGACAAGGAGCTGGAATAGGACAGAAGGAAGAAAGGAAACCTAACCACTTGAACCATAGGGGGATCGAACGCTAACCCAGCAAGAAGCGAACCCGCAGCTGTACCGACCTATCCAAGTGGTTGTCGGGTTTGAAAAATACTAATGTAGAAAAGCCCAACACCCACACACACACTCGAAAATGAAAATGCTGATGTTTCGGACCCTGAACAGACCGAGACATCTATACCCTCACGTATTTGGCTGTTTTCAACCACGTTCTTGTAAACATGTGGTTGCAAAAGTGAAACAAGAAAATATTATTAACAAACGTGGAATGGTGGTTGTGTATGTGTGTATGTGTATGGGATGTTTGAACAGCATTGCCTATGTGGATTTCGTGACAAATGTAACTACTTTGTATGTTGCTTGTGGGAGGGAAGATGGGGTAGAGGGGGTGTCACACCACTTCCCCCACGACCAAAGTCTTAGCCAGTCGCCGGGAAGAAAAATAATAATAATAATTTGTTTAACAGAACTATTGTTACTGGCGAACTCAAAGGCTTGAGAGCAAGCCTGGCCTGTCTTAAGTTCTCAGACGAATGTGTTGGTTAGACGTTCTTGTGCTCAAAGGACCAATAGAAATATATATGACGTTGGTCCAGATTATTGTGCTGCTCGTAAATGTGTTTGCGGCTTCTTTTGTGTGATCATACTGTGAATAACTCTCACTATCATACATCTGTTGTGGTTCATATATGTAGATATTTATATCTGTTTTGAAGTCATTATATATATTTCATTCACTTGTACCATCAGAGATTCGAATCCGGACCTGAAAAATATACGAGCCCCTTCACTCTACAAACCAGGCCAGGATAGCGTAAATGAAATGTTTACCGCTCACGATATTGTGGAATGTGTGTGATATGGATTAATAAGTGGATTGCTTCCAGATACCTTAGGAACGGTTTAAGCTCTCGGTTAAGTACCAGTTAGGTACTCCTGAGACCCTTCCTTATAATAATTATCCTGGCCTGGTTGCTAGAGTGACGGTCTCGGATATATTAATAAAAACTGCAGAAAAGTTTTAAAATCTGTAAATACTTTTGAAGCCCTCAAAAGTATTTGGTGATATTTATTCAACTTTTATCCTTCATTGTATGTAACTCTGTGACACATATCGGCTCACAAGTCAAGATCTCTCACTCTGGAAGATATTGAGGATATTCACTTAATTTTACCCTTAACCTTCAAGATAAAATAAGTTAATATCTTATCCAGCCAAACAATTTATTTTGAGAAATATATATATATATATATATATATATATATATATATATATATATATATATATATTTATTATTGTTGTTTAAAATGTGGCAAATTTGATATCGTTTGCTCACAAGTGAAGAGTTCCAAAATATAAGTCAAGTTACGATTCTTTTTACGATTCATTTCAATGGCCTTTCTTTGCCCACGTGGCAGGAAATACCCGGTGAAGGCACAGCACCAGCCTGTACACCCTTGGTGTTGGTGTGAGCCGTGGAGTGCTCTCTCTCCTTCCCACCAACAGGGTGGAGCTGCACTCTGAAAATGGCGGAAAGTGACACTTTCACGGCCGATTTCTCAACTTTGTGTGTGTGTCTTGCCACTATTTATTTTGTATATTACCGTCAGTGTATGATCGAGAGTGTGACACCGTCTCGCACTTGCTGATGCCATGAAGTACAAAATTTTTAGATGTTTGTATCGGAAATGGTTCTGTGGATCTTGTACCCTGAGAGCAGCCACGCGCCTCTTTCTCTCCTGATGTCTTATTAGGTAGGATCCTTATATTTATTGTAAGTTACCGTGTATTGCGTTGTTACTTGTGTTTCTGTACCTCATAGGGGTTTGCTGCACCCTTACATGGGTTGCTGCAACATAGGTGGTTTGCTGCACCCCCTTACATGTCTCACAAGGAAGTACTGTGAGACAATCGACTTGAGAATGGTCCAGGACGGACCGAAACGTCGTCGTCCCTTCACCTTCTAGTGTGTGGTCTGGTCAACAAGGAAGTGCTGTTTTTTTTATAGTCACCAGTACAGTGTGAGTTTAGTGGGGATTTTTTAATTATGTTACAGATATAGCCAGCTCCCTGGGGCATGTATACCCATTATATAGCCCCCTCAGGGGCATGTATATCCTAGTATATAGTCCCTGGGAGCATGTATACCTCGGTACTCATCCCACAGGGGCTTGGCCAGCTAATGTGCTGCATCTACACTGCGCAGTTCAAGGACTAACGGCCCCCCTCAGATTCTGCAGACCTTTGACGCAAGCAATGGTCCCTAGATAGTGCTTCTTCTGTATACCTTTAGCTTCATTTTCACAGTGTTTATGGGGAAATTTTTTTTATTATTTTTACAATGCATGTGTGAAGAACTGCTTATAGTTTTTTATGATGATATGTTTGTCATGTGATAACGGTTAATAAAATAAGTTCATATGATAAGATGAAGTTTTCATCGATCCAGTTCCACTACTTTTAAAGTTCATCAGGTAAAATGAACTTTAAAAAGTTCTAAGCTGTGTAGTCATAATGGCTTAGTACTTTCTTTTGATAATTAGCTTTCGTGAAATAATAAAGCTACTTTTAAAGGTTGACCTAATACATAAGCCTGTCCCAAAAGATTGGTAAGGGATATTGGGAAAATATATCCTCTGGACTCGTGCCTTGCATGGTCGGCGTTCAATCCCCGATGTTACAAGGGGTTTAGCTTGCAAGTGTTATATAAATATACTGGTTTAGTATTATCTCCTTAACCTTAGCTAGCCAGAATTAATATTTTGCAATGAGGAAAAAACTTGAATAACATGAATAAATAAAAAAAAGAGCAGACTTAAAATTGATCTCACTCTATACCTTTTCTATGAGCGAACTTTTTCAATATTTATTTTTGTTTCTAAATGGTTCATTGATTAATTAGGACTAATTTATTAACTTAATGACTGTATTACATGAACTAATAATTATTGCTTATATAGAAAACATGATTTACTGATTTAATTCACGGGTTTCTTTAGTATTATTGACATTATTTTACAGCTCAATTTTGTTTACTAAGAATGTTGATTATTTACTATGTTTTTTCATTATCCATTTTTTATTCAGCTTTTATAATTATTATTACATGTTTTTCAACTATTTTCCTTATAATTTGTTGAGAAAACACGATGATATATCTGATATTTGAGATGGCTGTATCTCGGTAAATATGGGTGTTTGGGCCTTGATATTGAAAATTAGCAAAGAAAGCCTTTACAGAAAGAAATGTAAATTGCTGTGGTAAACACAATGGTACCATTTTCAAAACGATTCTATGGCTGGTTTTGATTTTGAGTTTTGAGAAAAATGACGATTTCGCCCGGGCTGCGATTCTTTCCTGGCAAAGGGCTGTGTGGCAGAAAATGTAAGCTGCTCGCCAAAGTGACGTACTGTCCCGTTTTCTGAGTTTGGTCCTCTGGTAGGTTAGGATAGGACACTTACAATTTACCGTTTTCTTGACGTTGAGAAACATTAGGAGGACCATATAAGTACCATACGTATGCCCATATAAGTACCATACACATGGCCATATAAGTACCATACACATGCCAATATATGTACCTTTTACATGGCCTTATAAGTACCATACATATGCTCGTGTAATTGCCATATAAATGCCCATATAAGTATAATCCATGTACCGTTTTAAGTACCATACATATGCATTTATAAGTACCATACATATGCCTTTATAAGTACCATAGATATGCCGTTATAAATGTCCGACATATGTCTTTATAAGTACAATACACATGTCTTTATAAGTACCATACATATGTGTAAGTACCATACATATGTCAATATAAGTACCATACATATGCCCATATAAGTACCATTTATATACCATATATGTACCATACATACTTTATAAGTACTCTGCGTATATGTTTAAAAGTACCGTACTTATATCTTCATAGGTACCATACATATGCCATTATATGTACCATTCATACACCATATAAGTACCATACATTGCTATTATAAGTATCATACATTTGCCCTTATAAGTGCCATACATATGCCACTATAAGTACCATACAAATGTCCATATAGGAACCATTCGAAATAATCTCTAAGCAAAGGAATAATATAGAAATTACTTTATTTTCATTACCCATTTTTTATTCAGCTGTTTATAATTATTATTACATGTTTTTCAACTGATTTTCCCTAATAATTTGTTGAGAAAACACGATGATATGTTTGATATTTGAGATGGCTGTATCTCGGTAAATATGGGTGTTTGGGCCTTGATATTGAAAATTAGCAAAGAAAGCCTTTACAGAAAGAAATGTAAATTGCTGTGGTAAACACAATGGTACCATTTTTAAAACGATTCTATGGCTGGTTTTGATTTTGAGTTTTGAGAAAAATGACGATTTCGCCCGGGCTGCGATTCTTTCCTGGCAAAGGGCTGTGTGGCAGAAAATGTAAGCTGCTCGCCAAAGTGACGTACTGTCCCGTTTTCTGAGTTTGGTCCTCTGGTAGGTTAGGATAGGACACTTACAATTTACCGTTTTCTTGACGTTCGGAAACATTAGGAGGACCATATAAGTACCATACGTATGCCCATATAAGTACCATACACATGGCCATATAAGTACCATACACATGCCAATAGTACCTTTTACATGGCCTTATAAGTACCATACATATGCTCGTGTAATTGCCATATAAATGCCCATATAAGTATAATCCATGTACCGTTTTAAGTACCATACATATGCATTTATAAGTATCATACATATGCCTTTATAAGTACCATAGATATGCCGTTATAAATGTCCGACATATGTCTTTATAAGTACAATACATGTCTTTAAATGTACCTTACATATGTGCCATACATATGTCAATTTAAGTACCATACATATACCCATATAAGTACCATACATATACCCATATAAGTACCATACATACACCATACGTATATGTTTAAAAGTACCGTACTTATATCTTCATAAGTACCATACATATGCCATTATATGTACCATTCATACACCATATAAGTACCATACATATGCTATTATAAGTATCATACATTTGCCCTTATAAGTGCCATACATATGCCACTATAAGTACCATACAAATGTCCATATAGGAACCATTCGAAATAATCTCTAAGCAAAGGAATAATATAGAAATTACTTTATTTTCATTACCCATTTTTTATTCAGCTGTTTATAATTATTATTACATGTTTTTCAACTGATTTTCCCTAATAATTTGTTGAGAAAACACGATGATATGTTTGATATTTGAGATGGCTGTATCTCGGTAAATATGGGTGTTTGGGCCTTGATATTGAAAATTAGCAAAGAAAGCCTTTACAGAAAGAAATGTAAATTGCTGTGGTAAACACAATGGTACCATTTTTAAAACGATTCTATGGCTGGTTTTGATTTTGAGTTTTGAGAAAAATGACGATTTCGCCCGGGCTGCGATTCTTTCCTGGCAAAGGGCTGTGTGGCAGAAAATGTAAGCTGCTCGCCAAAGTGACGTACTGTCCCGTTTTCTGAGTTTGGTCCTCTGGTAGGTTAGGATAGGACACTTACAATTTACCGTTTTCTTGACGTTGAGAAACATTAGGAGGACCATATAAGTACCATACGTATGCCCATATAAGTACCATACACATGGCCATATAAGTACCATACACATGCCAATATATGTACCTTTTACATGGCCTTATAAGTACCATACATATGCTCGTGTAATTGCCATATAAATGCCCATATAAGTATAATCCATGTACCGTTTTAAGTACCATACATATGCATTTATAAGTATCATACATATGCCTTTATAAGTACCATAGATATGCCGTTATAAATGTCCGACATATGTCTTTATAAGTACAATACATGTCTTTAAATGTACCTTACATATGTGCCATACATATGTCAATTTAAGTACCATACATATACCCATATAAGTACCATACATATACCCATATAAGTACCATACATACACCATACGTATATGTTTAAAAGTACCGTACTTATATCTTCATAAGTACCATACATATGCCATTATATGTACCATTCATACACCATATAAGTACCATACATATGCTATTATAAGTATCATACATTTGCCCTTATAAGTGCCATACATATGCCACTATAAGTACCATACAAATGTCCATATAGGAACCATTCGAAATAA